GAAAGCCCAGAATAATTCTTATCTGGCTGTGGATCACCAATCCAAAATTTTTTTTTTTTTTTCAAACTGATCACTATCTAAGAAAGCCATAGGTTGTGGATCCTTCTGTTTGTTTTTCCTTCTGTCATTTGTGAAGATAATGCATTTCTCTAGATTTTGCCTTCACATGGCGATAGGACTAGCTGGACTTCTGTGGTTCCCATATTTTCTGTGTCTTTTTGTGTGAGACTGACATCTTCTTTTGAAGTTCCTTTTCCATCTTTCTAATTCCGATAGACTTTTCCTGCTTTCTTAATCGAATACAAATCATGTGCCACCCCCATTCCCCTGGCCTGTTGTCTTAAATTCATGTAGGAACTTCTAGTTGAATTTGGTGAGCTAGGTATTTCTACATGGCAGCTGGATTTTGAGGAACTTTGGATGTTAACTTTCAGACTATTTTTCTGTCTTTTCAGGTCTCTGGATGGCAGACTCTGAAAAGAAATGCTGGTTTGAGAGGTATGCCTCATGTAGGCCCAAATTTCCTGACTAGTATATATATTAATGATAAGGCCAAACTTCTAAGGAGTTTCTTTGCTTATCCTCTTTTTGAACTTGAGTTAGTGTTCGTTTTCAGTGCTGCAGTCTCTCTGAAAGGTGAAAGCATATACAGGGGCATTTGGCCACGTTGGCGACGCAGTTGTACTGGAGAGATCTGTAATAAACTGCCTGATCATCATAATGGAAAGCTGCCTTAGTGGATGAAACACTAAAGTGACTAAGACCAGTTGACTGACACGTATATTCACTGCCAACATCTCCTGATTGTGTTCATTTTTGTTTGTTTATATTTATTTATACTAATTAGAGATATAGTGCAGATGTCTTTGTAGTTGTCTTTATGTGTTTCCTCCTGGCATGAAGTACTTACCAGACAGTCAGAGAACAATGATGTCTGGTGTCAAATGATGTTAGTTGAAACTAAGAAGAAACACGATTCTTGGTTCAGGTGATCTTTTTGGCATGTTGGCAGGATGTATCGAACTTTTTGCTTCATGGAGTCATTCAGGTGCTGCTGAACAGTGCTGCACAGAGCCAAGGATGTTTAGTATTTCAGTTTCTTGTATGCCCTGCCAGTGAAACTGCTGGATGCGGGGAGCACAGGGAGCTGGGAGGGGATAGAACCAGGACAGCTGACCTAATCTGGCCAAAAGGATGTTCTCTAACATATGACATCATGTGAAAAAAATTTAAAACTGAGCAGAGTTGGCCCGGGGGGAGCCAACACTTAGGGACTGGCTGGGATTAAGTTGGTGAGTGGTGAGCAATTGCTTGTGCATCACTTGGCTTTGTATACATATGTAATTATGCATACACATAATGATAACTACTGCTATTTCTCTCTTCATTTTCTGCCTTAATAAATGGTTTTTATCTCATTCTGTGAGTTCTGCTTCTCTCACTTGAGCGAGTGAATGGCTTTGTGGTGTTTAGCTGCCTGCTGGATTAAACCACAACACTTTAAAACAAGACTTCTTTCAAGAATTGATTCAGGTCTCTCAAACTCCAGATGGTTTCCTATTTCTTTAAAGCAGTACACTTCCAATTAATTTTGTCCTGACTCAAAAATATTTTCTGGTGCAAAGTACTAAATATTTGGGTTAACAGTGGTGGTTCTTCAGCAATTGTCTGAGATATTGGTGTTGCTGTTTTTATATGCTGTGCTTACAAAGGTCCTAAGGGTTTTTTGTTTTTTTTTTTTTTTTTTTTTTTTTTTTTCCTAAGTGTAAGGGAAGATGGTGCTGCTATGTTCATGTGCTTACGGACAGTAATCAAGAAAATGGAGCCACTCTGTTATCAGAGGTGCACGCTTTTGGGATGAGAGGAATTGCACACAAATTACAGTGCAGGAGCATTCAGTGCCATTAAATAATTGGAGCTTTTTTTTGGCAATGACAATTGATCAGAACCTGGAACAGGTTGCCTAGAGAGACTGTGGAGTACTCATTCCTGGATCTGTTTGAGTGCAGCGGGACTGTGCCCGAGGGTAATTCACTTTTAAATTGTGTCACTTTGAGCACAAAGTGGGATTAGAGCTTTTGGGAAGTCACTTCCAATCAGCATGATCCTGTGAATCTTTGTAGCCTGCTGAGTGATCATTTATCTGTGTATTATGTTTCCTGTAAAAGCGGGTGAGATTCAGATCATTAGGAAGCATCTGTTGTTCAGTGTTTCATGATTCTAGGATTGACAACTGTGACTTCTTTCTGTTCCAGCAACAAGATTTTGAGAGTGGAGCATTGTTTTTTGATTCTAACACTTGTTTGCTAGGTGAGGAGTGAAAAGCTTCAATTTTAGATCAAATGTCACTGTTCAGTCTACAGATACTCAGGAACATATCTACACTTCCTTACTTGCTCTAGTATGTTACAATTTAAGAAGATAACTGTAGGAGAACAAATGAAGCACTGTGTTGTACAGATTTGCTTTGTTAATTTTTACAGGAACCTAATATCTGGAGTGTTAAACAGTGAAAAAGTGCTGTTAAGTTCTGAAAATGGTATTTAAAAAATTCAGATTCTGTTCTGTGCCCTGAAATTACATGATTTCATATCACATGATAACTTTCTTTAACATTTCAGTTCATGAATTTGCCAGATAGACATGACTAGGATATTATATTGAGTGTATTTTTTCCGTGTTTTTAACAGGTATTTTTTTCTGTTGCTGAGGAGTGTATAATTTTGCTTTCCATCCAGCCAGTGGAGTATGTTTCATCCTTATGTATTTATTTATTTTTCCTGGTAAAATTGACTTTATTACACTTCGTAGCACTTTTACCTTTTCTCTGTATGGTTTGTTTGTTGTTCTGTTAATATTATGTCCCATCTCAATTGATTTACATTTGCTGCAGGTTTTTTCTAGTGCTGTGTCATGTGATTTGTGTAATAACATTGCTTGTCTCTACTATAGTGGCAGAAAAGGTTGCATTTAGCTTTTACTGGAAAATATTTTTTTTTGCTGCAGTTTTCACTATAACTTCTTTGACTTTTATGCCTCTTTAATGGTTGGAATCAATCTGTGGTAATCCTGAATGCCTTGTTCTGCAATCCTGTCTCCACAAGTGCGGTTGTATTAGTGATGCCTAAGTATCCTTGTAGCTTAACTTCTCTTTTACACATTTTGAATTGAGATTTACAAAGTGCTGTCTAGCTACTGTGAACAGTAGTTTAAACCCATCTCCTGAACTGTTTGTAAGAATGATGCTAAAAACCTTTTTCCCCGAGTATTAGAAATGTTAAGTAATTCATGCAGTAGCTTCTTTATCTGGATACCTCATAAACTAGATTGAAAATGTTGAGTATGCACCTACTTTTGAAATAATTAGAAACAAAACTATAAATTAAGATTTAGAAGAGTAATTAAGTTCCTAGAATAGATTCTGACATATGTTTGGATCTGAGTTCTAGAGTATCATGCTTCTCATTCTTCTGTCAGAAGCTAGTTGCTACCTTAATTAAGAAATCTCAGATGCCATAAAACAAGTTTGATGTTTTGTCTGTTCCTTAACCGTGAGTACTAGAATTCCTCCTAGTACATTTTGTATGGGACAATACAGAACTTCATGAGCTTATGATAAATTACATGCTTTTCCAATGTTATAATGGATCATAAAGTACTTTGTCAGTTTACTGACAAAACTTGTCTAGTTTAGATCAGATTGGTATGAAGGTTTGCTTTATGATGTATAGTCCTTTCTGCTTAATACCACTTCAATAAACAAAGGAGAAAAGATACGGTAAACTGAGTTACATATTTCTTTGTGAAATTTGGGGAAAATGAGTTACCATAAAAATTCTGAAATGTATTCCCTATTAAATTAGATGAAAACTGTTAGTGTTTATGAGCCATGGACTGTTACCATAACAGAGAGCAATGCAATAATGTGGTCACATCTGAAGTGCAGGAGGCAAATTACTAAGTTATAAGCCAGTTTAGACTGCCATTTAATTGATGCTGTCAACTTATGGTGACAATAAATTCTCTTAGTTTTCTTCTCAGCGTATTGAGAAGAACATGTGTGTGTGTGTATGTTGTATACATAGTATATATGTTCTCTCTCTATATAGGTATATGTATACATATATAGATAAATATATATATGTATATATTTTAAAGGTAACAATGTACTTCTTAAGTCATAGGTTTTGTAAACTGTTTTCTCCGAGCAGCTGAGGTTGCGGCCAAAGAAGTTAATGAGTTGTTTTAAGTTTTAATTCTTCATTTTTGCCTGTTTAGTAGTAGTTATGCTCTCCTTTGTATTGAAGAGTGAAAAGCTTTCTAATTCACATTTCTTAGTACAACAAACTGCAGTTCTGCCAGTGAAGCAATTTTAATTTGGAACATGTTCTTCTATTAACCTCCGTTTAAATAAAATGAAATTCCGGGTTTACTTTTCAGCTGTTACTGAGATGACTTCAAAATTATGCTTTAATATAGTGAATAAAGGCAGGCCTTAAGTGTAGTTGTACATGCTATGCTAAGTCAAATGCAATTCTTTTAAATTCTCAGTTTTAAAAATACTTTCTAATTGTTTAATTGTTCTGAGGATTTTTTCTCTCTCTTTTTTTTTTTTTTTTTTTTTTTGTGTGTGTGTGTGTGTGTGTGAAATTTCTCCTGTGACTAGTAACTGCTTAGATAAGCAGAATGATAGGATTTCACCTTAAATCCAAGTCCTGTGGGCAGTGTTAATAAGCTGCTGCTTATTAACAGTGCGGTAGTGAAACTTTGACTTGGAATAATGTGAAATCACCAGTATTTCACACCTTCCATTTCTGTGAAGTTTTCTGAAAGTTAGTGCTATCGAGTGTGTGTACATGCATGTGTTTATACATATAGAATGTATGAGAACCTTAAGTTGTGTAAAAATATCTTTAAGGTGAATTATAGTTAATAATTTATCACCAAATTACCTACCACCAAATTCACTGCAACTGTGTTTCTGTATTTCTTTTCTGTAGACACCAAAGATGCTAACCAGAAAGATTAAGCTCTGGGACATTAATGCCCATATAACCTGTCGTCTGTGCAATGGATACCTGATTGATGCTACCACTGTAACAGAATGCTTACATACATGTAAGTATGATTATAATTACATTCAAGAGATTGTTTTTTTTTCCTTGATGTGCAACATGATGTAACAATTTTTAGATGAAATTCGAAAGTCTGTTGTGCAGCAGCCAGAAAAATACGTGCTTTTCTAGACTGTTTTTTTTTTTTTTTAAATTAACAATTAAGAAGATGACGTTGTTGTTTTCACAAAGTGAGTGAAGAGAGGATCTTAAAGCTGTAATGCATGAACTTGAAGCCATATACAAGTGATAAGATACATATTCAAAAATGCAGCCTATTTTCATGCGGATAGAATGTAGTATACATAGTTTTCTCTTCGGTGACATGTGACACAGCATATGTTCTCTACCTGCAGTCTCCTTGCTCTTGCTCTCCTGTCTCTATGAAGAGAGCAGACATGTTTGATGAGGAATAAGTAAATTACCTTCTACTCTAGAAATAGGGTTTTGTTCTGGAACATTTAACTGAGGCTGTTATGTTGCACTGTGAATTTCAAGTTTCACATCAGTGAATCAGGCCTTAGAACATCACAAAGCCTTAGATTTAAAACAAACAAACAAACAGGGCCAAAACAAAAACAAACAGCAACAACAGAAACGAAATAATTTCTCTTGAAGTTATAAATTCATCCCTATATCTTTGTTGATGACATAATGAGATGAGGTTTGAAAAATGGTGATGAATAAAGGTCCAGAAAGACTCAACATAAATCATTCCTTCTGTGGAGGAATTTAGTCCAAGGTGGCAGTGCCAGGACTGTTATTTGTTTTGAATCAGAGTTTCATTTGCCAAGGTAGATATCATCTGAGGAATTAACCTTCCAATCAAAAGACTCACGGTAGTAGTGTTAAATGTCCTTTGTAGCTGCCTCATGACATGTGGAAATCAAACCCTATAACCTGTAAGGATATAGGGAAGG